CTCCCCGAGTCCTCGCTCCCCGAGTCCTCGCTCCCCGAGTCCTCGCTCCCCGAGTCCTCGCTCCCCGAGTCCTCGCTCCCCGAGTCCTCGCTCCCCGAGTCCTCGCTCCCCGAGTCCTCGCTCCCCGAGTCCTCGCTCCCCGAGTCCTCGCTCCCCGAGTCCTCGCTCCCCGAGTCCTCGCTCCCCGAGTCCTCGCTCCCCGAGTCCTCGCTCCCCGAGTCCTCGCTCCCCGAGTCCTCGCTCCCCGAGTCCTCGCTCCCGAGTCCTCGCTCCCCGAGTCCTCGCTCCCCCGAGTCCTCGCTCCCCGAGTCCTCGCTCCCCGAGTCCTCGCTCCCCGAGTCCTCGCTCCCCGAGTCCTCGCTCCCCGAGTCCTCGCTCCCCGAGTCCTCGCTCCCCGAGTCCTCGCTCCCGAGTCCTCGCTCCCCGAGTCCTCGCTCCCCGAGTCCTCGCTCCCCGAGTCCTCGCTCCCCGAGTCCTCGCTCCCCGAGTCCTCGCTCCCCGAGTCCTCGCTCCCCGAGTCCTCGCTCCCCGAGTCCTCGCTCCCCGAGTCCTCGCTCCCCGAGTCCTCGCTCCCCGAGTCCTCGCTCCCCGAGTCCTCGCTCCCCGAGTCCTCGCTCCCGAGTCCTCGCTCCCCGAGTCCTCGCTCCCCGAGTCCTCGCTCCCCGAGTCCTCGCTCCCCGAGTCCTCGCTCCCCGAGTCCTCGCTCCCCGAGTCCTCGCTCCCCGAGTCCTCGCTCCCCGAGTCCTCGCTCCCCGAGTCCTCGCTCCCCGAGTCCTCGCTCCCCGAGTCCTCGCTCCCCGAGTCCTCGCTCCCCGAGTCCTCGCTCCCCGAGTCCTCGCTCCCCGAGTCCTCGCTCCCCGAGTCCTCGCTCCCCGAGTCCTCGCTCCCCGAGTCCTCGCTCCCCGAGTCCTCGCTCCCCGAGTCCTCGCTCCCCGAGTCCTCGCTCCCCGAGTCCTCGCTCCCCGAGTCCTCGCTCCCCGAGTCCTCGCTCCCCGAGTCCTCGCTCCCCGAGTCCTCGCTCCCCGAGTCCTCGCTCCCCGAGTCCTCGCTCCCGAGTCCTCGCTCCCCGAGTCCTCGCTCCCCGAGTCCTCGCTCCCCGAGTCCTCGCTCCCCGAGTCCTCGCTCCCCGAGTCCTCGCTCCCGAGTCCTCGCTCCCGAGTCCTCGCTCCCGAGTCCTCGCTCCCCGAGTCCTCGCTCCCCGAGTCCTCGCTCCCGAGTCCTCGCTCCCCGAGTCCTCGCTCCCCGAGTCCTCGCTCCCCGAGTCCTCGCTCCCCGAGTCCTCGCTCCCCGAGTCCTCGCTCCCCGAGTCCTCGCTCCCCGAGTCCTCGCTCCCCGAGTCCTCGCTCCCCGAGTCCTCGCTCCCCGAGTCTCGCTCCCGAGTCCTCGCTCCCCGAGTCCTCGCTCCCCGAGTCCTCGCTCCCCGAGTCCTCGCTCCCCGAGTCCTCGCTCCCCGAGTCCTCGCTCCCCGAGTCCTCGCTCCCCGAGTCCTCGCTCCCCGAGTCCTCGCTCCCCGAGTCCTCGCTCCCCGAGTCCTCGCTCCCGAGTCCTCGCTCCCCGAGTCCTCGCTCCCCGAGTCCTCGCTCCCCGAGTCCTCGCTCCCCGAGTCCTCGCTCCCCGAGTCCTCGCTCCCCGAGTCCTCGCTCCCCGAGTCCTCGCTCCCCGAGTCCTCGCTCCCCGAGTCCTCGCTCCCCGAGTCCTCGCTCCCCGAGTCCTCGCTCCCCGAGTCCTCGCTCCCCGAGTCCTCGCTCCCCGAGTCCTCGCTCCCCGAGTCCTCGCTCCCCGAGTCCTCGCTCCCCGAGTCCTCGCTCCCCGAGTCCTCGCTCCCCGAGTCCTCGCTCCCCGAGTCCTCGCTCCCCGAGTCCTCGCTCCCCGAGTCCTCGCTCCCCGAGTCCTCGCTCCCCGAGTCCTCGCTCCCCGAGTCCTCGCTCCCCGAGTCCTCGCTCCCCGAGTCCTCGCTCCCCGAGTCCTCGCTCCCCGAGTCCTCGCTCCCCGAGTCCTCGCTCCCCGAGTCCTCGCTCCCCCGAGTCCTCGCTCCCCGAGTCCTCGCTCCCCGAGTCCTCGCTCCCCGAGTCCTCGCTCCCCGAGTCCTCGCTCCCCGAGTCCTCGCTCCCCGAGGTCCTCGCTCCCCGAGTCCTCGCTCCCCGAGTCCTCGCTCCCCGAGTCCTCGCTCCCCGAGTCCTCGCTCCCCGAGTCCTCGCTCCCCGAGTCCTCGCTCCCCGAGTCCTCGCTCCCCGAGTCCTCGCTCCCCGAGTCCTCGCTCCCCGAGTCCTCGCTCCCCGAGTCCTCGCTCCCCGAGTCCTCGCTCCCCGAGTCCTCGCTCCCCGAGTCCTCGCTCCCCGAGTCCTCGCTCCCCGAGTCCTCGCTCCCCGAGTCCTCGCTCCCCGAGTCCTCGCTCCCCGAGTCCTCGCTCCCCGAGTCCTCGCTCCCCGAGTCCTCGCTCCCCGAGTCCTCGCTCCCCGAGTCCTCGCTCCCCGAGTCCTCGCTCCCCGAGTCCTCGCTCCCCGAGTCCTCGCTCCCCGAGTCCTCGCTCCCCGAGTCCTCGCTCCCCGAGTCCTCGCTCCCCGAGTCCTCGCTCCCCGAGTCCTCGCTCCCCGAGTCCTCGCTCCCCGAGTCCTCGCTCCCGAGTCCTCGCTCCCCGAGTCCTCGCTCCCCGAGTCCTCGCTCCCCGAGTCCTCGCTCCCCGAGTCCTCGCTCCCCGAGTCCTCGCTCCCCGAGTCCTCGCTCCCCGAGTCCTCGCTCCCCGAGTCCTCGCTCCCCGAGTCCTCGCTCCCCGAGTCCTCGCTCCCCGAGTCCTCGCTCCCCGAGTCCTCGCTCCCCGAGTCCTCGCTCCCCGAGTCCTCGCTCCCCGAGTCCTCGCTCCCCGAGTCCTCGCTCCCCGAGTCCTCGCTCCCCGAGTCCTCGCTCCCCGAGTCCTCGCTCCCCGAGTCCTCGCTCCCCGAGTCCTCGCTCCCCGAGTCCTCGCTCCCCGAGTCCTCGCTCCCCGAGTCCTCGCTCCCCGAGTCCTCGCTCCCCGAGTCCTCGCTCCCCGAGTCCTCGCTCCCCGAGTCCTCGCTCCCCGAGTCCTCGCTCCCCGAGTCCTCGCTCCCCGAGTCCTCGCTCCCCGAGTCCTCGCTCCCCGAGTCCTCGCTCCCCGAGTCCTCGCTCCCCGAGTCCTCGCTCCCCGAGTCCTCGCTCCCCGAGTCCTCGCTCCCCGAGTCCTCGCTCCCCGAGTCCTCGCTCCCCGAGTCCTCGCTCCCCGAGTCCTCGCTCCCCGAGTCCTCGCTCCCCGAGTCCTCGCTCCCCGAGTCCTCGCTCCCCGAGTCCTCGCTCCCGAGTCCTCGCTCCCCGAGTCCTCGCTCCCCGAGTCCTCGCTCCCCGAGTCCTCGCTCCCCGAGTCCTCGCTCCCCGAGTCCTCGCTCCCCGAGTCCTCGCTCCCCGAGTCCTCGCTCCCCGAGTCCTCGCTCCCCGAGTCCTCGCTCCCGAGTCCTCGCTCCCCGAGTCCTCGCTCCCCGAGTCCTCGCTCCCCGAGTCCTCGCTCCCCGAGTCCTCGCTCCCCGAGTCCTCGCTCCCCGAGTCCTCGCTCCCCGAGTCCTCGCTCCCCGAGTCCTCGCTCCCCGAGTCCTCGCTCCCCGAGTCCTCGCTCCCCGAGTCCTCGCTCCCCGAGTCCTCGCTCCCCGAGTCCTCGCTCCCCGAGTCCTCGCTCCCCGAGTCCTCGCTCCCCGAGTCCTCGCTCCCCGAGTCCTCGCTCCCCGAGTCCTCGCTCCCCGAGTCCTCGCTCCCCGAGTCCTCGCTCCCCGAGTCCTCGCTCCCCGAGTCCTCGCTCCCCGAGTCCTCGCTCCCCGAGTCCTCGCTCCCCGAGTCCTCGCTCCCCGAGTCCTCGCTCCCCGAGTCCTCGCTCCCCGAGTCCTCGCTCCCCGAGTCCTCGCTCCCCGAGTCCTCGCTCCCCGAGTCCTCGCTCCCCGAGTCCTCGCTCCCCGAGTCCTCGCTCCCCGAGTCCTCGCTCCCCGAGTCCTCGCTCCCCGAGTCCTCGCTCCCCGAGTCCTCGCTCCCGAGTCCTCGCTCCCGGTCCCGCCCCGAGTCCTCGCTCCCCGAGTCCTCGCTCCCCGAGTCCTCGCTCCCCGAGTCCTCGCTCCCCGAGTCCTCGCTCCCCGAGTCCTCGCTCCCCGAGTCCTCGCTCCCCGAGTCCTCGCTCCCCGAGTCCTCGCTCCCCGAGTCCTCGCTCCCCGAGTCCTCGCTCCCGAGTCCTCGCTCCCCGAGTCCTCGCTCCCCGAGTCCTCGCTCCCCGAGTCCTCGCTCCCCGAGTCCTCGCTCCCCGAGTCCTCGCTCCCCGAGTCCTCGCTCCCGAGTCCTCGCTCCCGAGTCCTCGCTCCCCGAGTCCTCGCTCCCCGAGTCCTCGCTCCCCGAGTCCTCGCTCCCCGAGTCCTCGCTCCCCGAGTCCTCGCTCCCCGAGTCCTCGCTCCCCGAGTCCTCGCTCCCCGAGTCCTCGCTCCCCGAGTCCTCGCTCCCCGAGTCCTCGCTCCCCGAGTCCTCGCTCCCAACTGGTATGCGTCCTGGTGGAGCAGAGACTCCCGGTGTACCCAATGCTGTTTGCTTATCTATATTCTTTTATATTCTTTTAATAAATCCTATTTTTATTTAATCCTAATTTGAATCCTGAGCCATTTCTAACATGCTGTTTAACAGCAGCATTGCTTTAGAGCTGGGAAAGTGGCAATATACTACATAGCTATATGTTTCTGGAATTCCATCCAGCAGAAATTTAACATGAAAAGAAGGCCATTGGGCCTAATTTTTCTGTCATTTCTGTGATTCCATGGAACTGTCACTAAATTTTGCTGTTTTGTGTTTGAGGGGGAGAATAAAGTCCCCATTTATTATAAAAGAATAATATTGGTGTGTGTTTTCAATTCTTTTCAAGTCTATCTGGTCTGATATTTAAAGTAGTCTGAATAAAAATAAGTCCTTCTTTGACAGAATATATGTGATTTTCAAAACTGACAGAATAATTTTGTTTTTGATAGATCGAAAGTGCTAGTGAAAGTATTGGAGGGTACAAACAACTCAGGAGGGCAGTGACTATTGATAGCACCCTGGGAAGAGAAACCTTCTTTGTAGCCACTTGGCAAGCTGCTAAACCACCTGAGATCAATCTGGTTGATCCCAATCGGAAAAGCTACACCAGCAAGGACTTTGTCTCTGATTTGGTTTTCCATGTAGCACGTCTCCAGATTCCAGGAATTGCAGAGGTACAACTTACGGTCTTTTTTTGCCTTTTAACAATTTTGTTTTTTAACATCCTGACTCTACATTGCCTAGATTCTAATAAAGTTATGTTAAGGAAAATCATTTAATAGCGTGAGACAGAATGGGTCTGCTACACTATGTTAGTATGACTGCTGTTGCGTGCCAAACAGAAGCATCTGCTGTGTTCAAGAGTGCTATCTGAAGGTGTGTTTTTTTTATTACTTCACACTTGGTTTACAACTTAACTACAAGTTTCTGAGAACTATCAGAAACTGAGCCAGTAGGCGAATCTTCTGTCTTGTTACTATTCTAAGTAGTAGATAGCATTACAAGTGTGTGGTTTTTCTTTTTAAATTAATAATTCATTTAAAATTACTCCATTGTTCATAGAAACATATTCCCATCATTAAAATTCTGAAAACTTTTTTTTTCCCCATAAAAATTAGTCCTTAATTTCTTAAATAGTCCACAGACGCTAGGAAACTAAATCAAATCTGATGCTTGTGGTCTCACATGGAATAGTTGCCAAACAATTGGCAAAAGACAGAGGACAGCTGGAAAACGCTTCTTCATTCTGAGTTGCATTTATGAGTGTTCCCAGTGACAGAAACAAAGTTACTTGAAGGATGTTACTTAGTCTAAGGAGGCTGTCAGAATTTAAATAAGCATAAATTAAATTATCCAAAAGTGAATTATTTCATTTGAAAATATTTGATTGTTGTTTTTTCAGACAGGGGAGTGGACATACACACTGACAAATGTTCACCTGGCTCCTCAAGTTCTAACAATGACAGTAACTTCTCGAGCAGCAAACTCTACTATACCTCCTGTGGCTGTAAAAACCCATATGAGTAAAGATATAAATTACTATCCCAGTGCAATGGTTGTCCATGTACAGGTGAGTCACGGCTTTTCCCCTGTTCTTGGAGCAAGCGTGACTGCTGTCATCAGTCCAGAGAATGGAGATCCCATTTCCTTGGAACTTCTGGACAACGGAGCAGGTAAAAAGACTCTAGGAATATAAATTCAAAAATATCTAGAAAATGAAATTATAGGGCTCCCCTAAATGCTACCTTCATTGAATACTGTATGATACAATGCACTGAGACCGAGTTTCCAAGATTCTGTGGTAACACACAAGAGTGCAACAAACAGTTGGTGCTGTTTCTAGATGCACTTTGATTCAGAAAAGGATTTATGTGCATAAATAAAATACATAGACATGTTCCAGTAATCAGAATTGTGTTGTGTGCTGGAGCTACCAGTTGTCATTCAAGCTGATCAAAATAAATGATGTTCAGCACATTGGAAGATGAGGTCTTCAAAGAGCAGTAACTTAAACAGCTGTTAGCAGAGTGAAGTATGACCACTTACAGGCAGAAATTGCAGGCCCTATGCTTTACTCCCTCTTACAGTTGCCAAGCAAAGATGTAAATATCCAAAGGAGTTTGGATTTAGTAATATTTTAACTTGTGCATTTGCTTTGCAGAAATTATTCTGGTTACTTCAGCATGCTGCAAGGCAACATCTCACATGCAGTCCATCATATTGGTAGAAAGGATAGTTATGAAGAGTAGAGTAGTAGAGTAGGTAGTTACAAAATCACTTTGGTAACTTTTGGAGCTACTTCAATAAAGTGTTTTTTCTATATTAAAGTTCACAACTGAAAACAGTCAGAAGTAGTAACGAATACTCTCTGGTTTGTGCCACCATAGGAGTAAGTCCATAAATGAGAAGTGTGTTTCAGGAATGTACACTGAGGACTTTGGAGGTGAAGGTCCACCCACCCCATTTTCCCTGAATTCCTGGGCGGTTTCCCAGATCCCAGCTCAGGGGCCAAAGTGTAACAACTTATGAAATAATAGATGATTTTCCTGTTAGCTCTTCCTTCAGTTAACATGCCATACAAAGAGGTATCTTAGCTTCAGATCATAATCTTCTTTAAGTTTTAACATACAACCAAATGCAGAGGATCTGCACAGGTTGCACATCAGAGGAGAGTTTACCTATTATTCTTACATTCTAGTTTCTGTATGTGAATCTAGAAAGCATAAATAAGCACATCCATTTTTGTTTGATGTTAATTTATGTCATTTTTCTGTCTACGTTCTGACATTGTTAAGAATGATGGCATATATTCCAAGTACTTGTTTTCTTTCCCTGGGAGTGGCAGATACAGCCTGAAAGCTCATGTCCAAGCTAACAGGACTATTGTGCCACAAACTGCAAAGCTGTGGAGTCATGCCATGTATATACCAGGTTATATAGAAAATGGTAAGGTAAAGCAATGAAGAGAAAATGATATAGCTATCTATTCCAGCACCTGAATACATCACATCCCTTCACAAATACTAGGAGGATGCATTAGAACAACAACAGCCCAGCTAGGAAATGTTCAGTTATGAAGGCATTAACACCAAAAGAGTGTCTATACCCCAGAATACTGAAAGTATACCACAAACAACTATAATGGGGTAGTACCTATGCAGTACAGATAGACAGGATTTGTGTTTTGTTTGTGAAAAGACTAACAATAAGTTTATTAAGTAATAATGACTATTATTACTTATATTCAGTCATCCTAAATTAAGAACAGTTACAGTATTAGGATATTAAACTCTCCTGTAATTATTTTATAACAAGCAACAGTTACTGTAATTTTATATTAGCTTTCTTAGTAATTAGCACTCTTGAAACTGTAAAGAAACAGATACTATACTAGAAATGATTGTACATAATTGAGGTTTATAGATTTTTCTGATTTAAAACAGTATAAATGAGGTGATGTTCAGGTCACCTGCAGAGTACAATAATATGCAAGAAGTTAAGATTGATGAGCATTTTTTAATGCTGTAGGTAAACTCAAGATGAACCCATCAAGATCCCCAGCTATTAAAAGTGATATTCAAGTCAGAAGAGGAGGTTTCCATAGAACAGCTGTGGGAGAATCCTTCATAATATCTGCAGTTCCAATGGGACCTCATGCTGATGTGTTTCCACCGTGTAAAATTATTGACCTTGTGGCCAGAATATAAGATGATAAGGTCATTCTATCATGGACCGCACCAGGAAATGATTTTGACAAAAGCCGAGGTATGTTTGTAGCTTGCCAGTCTGCTTCCTACCCAAAGTGGAAGATCTGTAATGGAGTTTAGTCTCACTGACACTAGTGGGAATTTTCTTATAAACTATGGTGGTTCTAGTTGCAAAGATTTTAAATGGAATTAGACGATAAGCTTTTTGAGAGTTTCAAAATCAGTGCTGGTGATTTTGATGGAAGGCTTACTTTTACTAAGTTGATGTTTTCTGCTACTCATGGAAGGTAGACATATTACTCTGTACATGTAAAGAAAAAGTGTAAATAAACATCAGATTTGCTCAAGTAGGAATTTTACTTCACCAACTTTAACATAACAGTAAGTGAAGTCAGAATTACTGTCAGATTTCAGTGTGGGCTCATGATGACCACCATCACTTCTTCATTTCAATGCTCTGCTGTGAGAAATTGAATCGTTCAAGCACTTAGTTTAGGTAACAAGTTTTTGTAGATCTATCTGTCATGCTGCATTAATTTTTTATGGTGCTCAACTGACTTATGAAGAAAATATTAGGTAAGTATTATTTTGGAAGCGTTTTGTAAAGAGAGTATTTGGAGAGAGATCAGAAGTTTGAATGATAGCTAATACACAGATGACAATATCTTTTAATATTTGTATTTTCAGCTGCAAGTTATGAAATCAGGATAAGTGAGAGTCCTCTGGAACTAAGGGGCAGCTTCTATAAAACTGGTTTAGTGAATACTTCCACTTTATCACCTCAGCATGCTGGCTGCAAAGAAATATTTGCATTTAAACCAGAAGCTTTTACAACAGGAAACATAACCATAATTTATGTTGCAATGTGTGCCGTTGATGATGTTTTTCTTCACTCTGAGCTGTCTAATATTGCACAAGCTGTAAAGTTTGTTCCCCCAATGGTGTATCCCACTGCTAATATGGAGTTTCAACAATATTGTTACTAGTCTTTGGATTACTAACAGTAGTATGTATTACAGTAAGCACAACCATTTGTTTAGTAAAGAAGAAGAAAAAGACACTTCCAGAAAATGCAGCTAAGTTGCTTTAACATAAAGTGTCAGAGCTTGTTAGAGCTCCGGATACTTGATAATATTTAACTGCTTTGACTTACAAAAGTAGATATCCTACAATAAACAGAATAAATAAGTAATCACATTCCAGATATTGAAGTGATTTATTAGCCATATCATAGTGTCTATGAATTTGATAACAGAAGGCTTGGTTGCTGTAAAACAAGTCATATGCTGTACCATCTTGCACCATAGAGATGCAATATCTGTCTAGGAACTTACATGGGTGCTGTGCGATGTCATAGTGTATTCTTATTGTGTGGTGAAAAAGTTGTAATTAAATTGACAGAGATACCGAAGACAGTGTGTCTTATTTAAAAATGAGAGGAGAGGAGAGTGTGAGGAATGTTTTAACAATTCCAATAAAAATCAGCTGCTTGATGTAACTGGTGTGCGTCCTGGTGGAGCGGAGACTCCCGGTGCACCCAGCGCTGTTTGCTTACCTCTATTCCTTTATATTCTTTTAATAAATCCTATTTTTTATTTAATCCTAATTTGAATCCTGAGCCATTTATAACAGAGAGAACAGAGAGGAGAGGAGGGGGGGGGGGGGGGGGGGGGGAAGGAGCAAAACAAAGCAGTATGAGTTCCTACAGTTCTCATTTACAGTTATGTAAGCACATGTGCCATTCAGCTTCCACGTGTGGTGGGGAATTCCACAGGAAGAAGATCAGAGGCTGAGGGCGCTTAATTGAGAAACTCTGTTGAGGCAGAAATAACCTTTGTCCTGACCCTTCGGAAGGCAAAAGAGTGTTTACTGGAAACCAGAGCGGACAAGGGAAGGAGCACAAGAGGTATACACAAAGCCAATCCTGCACACTCTCTGCTTTCACATCTAAAGTGTCACATTAAGGGTGTTTGGAGGGAAACTGTGCCAGTGTACAAGTGTTTCCAGTATGTTATTCTCTTCTAGTCATCACTTACATCCTTAAACCACAGAGCTGAATCTCTTGGTTGCTAGCTGCTACTAAAGGAAACAGTTGCATTAGAATTGGATTAGCCCTATTGTTGCTGCTCTGCTGGGGTTTAGAAGACTGAAAAGTGCTGATTATCAACACTTGGGATTGCTTTGAGTTTACTATGCCCTTCAAGGATCTCTTCTGATCCTATAAACACATTTTTAACTACATCTCTGCATATTAATATATATGAGTGTATTGTGCATGTGTGTGCATGCAATGTGTGTGGTTAAATTTGTTTCCTGTAACATCAAATCGCAAACGTAACGATTATCTTGCTGTAAAACCATGTATGAAGATAAGGCAGTGCAATATTTTATAGCTGGAGTCTGGGTCAATTTGTTCTTCAGTACCTGGAAGAAAAAGAATTGAGGAAACTTGTAGAATGTGTCCTCTATGTAAAGTCAAATTTGCATTGTTTCTTTGAAATGAATTGGATACTGAATTAAATACAACAAAGTCAGACAGATTCTGTATTGCTAAAAGGATCTTTTCCTCAGAGAATACAGAAGTGTACAGAGCATTTCAGAGCAGATGCAAACTTCGGGAGATTGTCACATTGCTAAAATTTGACATTTACATGTCATCACCACCATCTCCTTATTGCACCTCTGTGAGGTGACAGCTGCTGCTGCTGCTGCACGCCAGGAGCAGCCAATTTTGTAGCAGCTGCAGGTGGAAATAAATGGGTTCTGCTGAGAACCAGTCTATGGCAGTAGTGAGATTGCTGTTTGGTGCTTTAGTTCCTCAGCAGTAATGCAGATCAGAAAGAGCAAAAGCACGAAGGCAAAGGAAAGGGAAGGGCAGGGAAAGGAGTTTGGGGACAGGAAGGACCTTTGTCACAATCTATACAGAGTAAAAAACTGAGGGCTCTTCTGAGAACGCTGAGTTCTCTCTCAGTGACTTCTCCCAGTGAGATCTCTCTCTGTGAAAGAGACAGGGTGGTGTAAAAGGAATAGGCATGAAACTACTGGAGCTAGGTGGCCCTCTTGCCTGCTCCTGATCCTTATGGAGTGAAGAATTAGGGAAGTGGTGGATTTTTATCCACTACTTTTTTTTTGTATCTGGAGGCTTAAAGAGTTCCTATACTAATGTAGGAGGTGAAAGAAATAAAACTCTGCATTATTCAATGAATTTAGGATCAGGAATAGGTGAGATGGAAAAAGGAGCAGGAAGAAAAGGGATGACCCAGGCATTTCAGTGGGGACCTGGTCTGGAAGAAGTTGGTGCTGCAGCCAGGACAGGCCCTGCTCCCTTACCCATAACTGCTCAGCCACCACCCTCCTTCAGCTGCCACCAAGTAGCCTTGGTAAACCAGATCACTTCCCTGATTCAGCTGGAAAGTCTTTCGTGTTTCCAGCACAAGGCATGGCACACAGTCCAGTGTTACTTTGGCCTACATTCCTTTGTGAAACCCCACCCTCAGAAGAGGTTGAAATTTTGCAGATCCAGGTGATTTTGTCTTCTGCCCTTTGAGACCATTTCACATTCTCACTGATTGAACCAGGGAAGAAGGAGAGAGGTACATCACCAGGAGGAAAATAAATAAACAAATAAATAAATAAATAAACAAATAAATTATCTTTTCCATTGCATCAAGTTAAGAGACAGGGATAAAATAAGCTTAAGGTTTGTAATGGTTAAAATCAAATGGGCAAACAGAAAGAAAGAAACAAACGAAAACATCACCACCACCACCAAAAAAAAAAACAAAAACAAACAAAAAACAAAAACAAAAAAAAAACCACCCAAGCAGGAACAGAAAGCAAGGCATAAGGAAACCAGAATAACAGAAAGAAAGAATTCATAGAATCAAAGAATCATAGAATATCCTGAGTTGGAAGGGACCCCTAAGGATCATCAAGTCCAACTCCTGGCACCGCACAGGTCTTTTTGGCTTCATTTAGCCAGAAAATGGCTGGCTCCATTTACTATATTGCAATAGACTGTTTTGACAATGGAACAATGGCAGTAAATGTTAACTGCTTACTCCACGATGAAAGAAAATTCTAAAGCTGAAATGCTTTTTTTTTTTTTTTTTTCTCTCATGTCAGATATCAGTTCTATTCTTCTGCAGGTGATAGCAGAATAGAACTGCTAATGGAGTGGCAGGTCCAAGGTATGAAGGTAGTTGTAAGAAGCTACAGGATGGTATTTCTCCACCATGTCCTGCTTCTAAGCAAGTGCGTGGTTTCCTGTCGGAATCTTTCAGAAGATATTGCTTGATGATCAATAATCAAGACAATGCAAGACTACAGTCATGTCATCTTGCATTGATCTTTTTTGGTATTTGGCAGAATGTAGAGGAGTAAGCAAGTGAAAAAGCATTTGAAGATTCTGTCTTCCTTTGAGGACTGTTCCTGCAGTGCAATGATGACTGCTGTTCTGAATAAATGAAAGGAAACAACAGCAAAACTGTATTTCCCTGTAAGGGCTTCAGGAAGCTGTCTTTCTGCCCACTCATTTATGTCAGTGCTGCCAAATACTGTGCAGGCTATAAGAAGGCACATGACTGAACATACTGATTCAAAGATCGAAACCAAAATTCCTTTAAGTGGTATATTCTTTATTGCAGCGCTGGATGCACGGGGGATCTCTCCACCTATCGTGCATACCCAAAGCGGAAAGCAGTCTTGAATTTATGCAATCAATCTATCAATATTCTACAAGCACCTGTACATATTCATTACCTATCCCCGCCTTCCCTCGCTTCTCATGCTAATTAGCCTTTTGGCACCTTGCGCCTGCGTAGAGCCTCCCAAGAATTGTGGACAGGGGTCTTCAGGACGTCAGCAAAGGTCTTTGGGAGGAAGACCCCTGCTCTTCCTCACAGTGTACTTTTCACCTTTGGTCAGGAATCTGCTGAGTTGGCATGTTTCTTAATTGCAAGAGCTAGTTGTTGCTAATTCTTCCATTTGTTGTATCTTTATCATGAATTCCAATGTCCAGTTTCGAGATTTATAGACCTTATATTTGTTTCTCTGTCCGTCTGCCACTTCCTTATCATGAGTTCCAGTGTCTTGTTTCGAAATATACAGTCCTTGTCTGGGGATTGTGCTTGCCTTCCCAATGTCTCCTTAATCAATACCACGGCCATTTCCAACTGTGTGTTCAGCCTATACCTTTTCTACTATTTCTTTTTCTTACTTGCCTTGGACTCAATGAAAGAGCTGAAGGTGTTTACACCTGAATGTTACAGGAACCATTTTCTTCAGGAAGTAAACCAACTCAACTAGACAGTTAAGTTTAGGAAGCAATTTGGGGCAACCTGAAATTTCAAATCTCTAGAAATATCCTGAGTACAGTCAGTTAGACGGACCAGTAAAAAAAATATGGAAAGTTAGGAAGAGATGGGAAAATATGTTAGGGAGCAGGTAGAATAATTTGGCTGTTTTCCCAAGAGTCTGATCCAAGATTTCATAGGTACACCAAATCAGACTTCATCTTTGCAGTCTGGCAGTTAAAGGCTGGGGTGGGTGAAGGCCAGGGGGTAGCTGTGAGTCTGTTGGTGCATTTAGGATTTTGATAAAAGAAAGATGTAAAAAAGACAGCAATTAAGTAAATATATTTTAAAAAAATCATGAAAAATAATGAGAGTATAAAATGAAGTCTGCAAAAGAATGACTGCTGTATTATCCTACCTTACAAGGAAGTGTCATATCATTTCAGCCAAAAAAGAATTTACCTTTTGACTTCGCATTGCGTAATGATCCTGTTCCAAGGTGTGGCTTTTCATTTTTCTTCCTGTCCTCTAGCATGACAATACTCTTTCTATGTTTGTAGTAGGATGTTAAAGAAAAATTATACAATTTTTATCTCATCTGAACTAGAGAAATATAAATTTTCCATTGAAAAAATGACAGAAATCTTTCTTCAGAAAAGTTCAGATTAATACTGTTTGCTTTCTGCTGGACTAACTAAAATGGGCAACTGATCACAGGCCAATAGTGAAAGCTGGGTGGCTAATTAATTTATTCAGTAAAGTATGGCTCTCTTGAAGGTATAGAAAGTATTCTAGCTTGATTAGGCATAGCTGTAGACAACCACATCACTTCTCAAGTGGGAAATGAGACTTTTACATGATTAAGTTTATTTTGTTTAGACCTGCATGGATGATCATAGTAGAAGGAGCTCTGCTGAAGGCCAAATGGGCAGGTGTACCAGGAGACCTGGGTCTTGCCAAATCTTCCTCATCTCACCAGCACTTTGCTTTCAAGCTTCTCTGTGTTTTGCTATTGCTTTTAAACTTTTGCCATATCTACCAAAAGGAATTGTACCCATGTTTACAGATGTTGCAATAAACCAATGTCCGTATTTGCACATAACTAACAATATTTCCT